TAATATATATTATAAATGTGTTCATCTTACCCTCCTCCAACACTTAAGTTCTCCCTTTACTTTCTCTCTAGCAATTATTCAATTTATAATTTTAATATTCAAATTACACTACGCAACACATTTGTTGTAAGGGAAGCCGTTATTCAAAATGTTTCGGATCTGCGCTCTTTATTTATTTCGCAAAAGTTTTACTTCAAGTTTTCCAGCAAAGTTTTCAATATCATCGCTGCGGTTGCGTAAGGGATGCTATTCTCAGTCTCCACATGGCTCCCGCTACTGCCACGCCTCCGCTGACGTTCACGTCCCGCCCAGTTGGCCACCATGCGACAGCAAACGTTTAATATTCACGCTTGAGCGCACTTGTGACTGGGTAAACGGGATGGCGTGTTTCTTGCTTGAGAGAGAGAAAGACCGAGCAAGAGACAGAGAGAGAGAGAGGGGGGAGAGAGAGAGACGGAACTGTGCAACGGATTGGCCTGAGCAAAATGTGTGAACTGTTTGACGCTTATCTATGCTTCTGCTTTTGACCAAATTTTATTGCCTCTTTCCAGGCCAAGCATTTCGTTCCGTTACTTTTCCATTCTATGACCCGAAAATTGTCTGTCAAGGGCTCGGTCGAAGCATGCCAACGTCTGGGCATATATACACACATACATATGCATAACATCTGCTATATATTGAACCCAGATCTAGGTTTTGAGACGAGCCTAATTGGCATGGTCAACCCAGGTATATATATATTCACCTTGAACAGTTCCTTTGGCTCACTCAATGCAATTACTCTTATGCAACATGCTCTATTGGCAATTAGCTAGCCTGGCACTGAGTATAATCATATTAATCATACGCCATGTTGTGCGCACAAGTTGACGCTAATGAAGCAGCCGTGTAAGTCCAGCTGTGCGAGCGTGTGCCCCAATGCAAAGCCTTGCAAACGCTTCAAATGCAATTCGAAATGACGCTTGTTTACATAGCCAGACAAGCGTCGTTGGGCCAATCTTGGCAATCGGGCAATCTGGCCAGCCCACAAGCCAACAATCTGACAATCTGACAATTGGGCTGTCCTGACTGTCCTGGCTGTCCTGGCTGTGCTGGCTCTCTAGTTCGCTGCCTTCACGCGGCCACAGTTGCAAGTGTCTTTGCTCTGACTTGTTTCGGACGTTCTTCGGGCTCGTGATTTCAGCTGCCGGCGCTTCAAACTATCATTCAACTTTTATGCGAACATTTACACTGGGATGTGGGCGGGATGTCTGCCTTACAGCCGCCAGCTAGTCGTGTCATGAAACAAGCCAGACCACAGTGCTATAGTCAGAGCCAGAGCAAGAGCCAGAGTCAGTTCTAGTTGGGCCATCAACGGAAGTGCTCGTCGCCATTTTTAGTGCACTTCTTGAAAGTGTGCACATTTCCGTTTGGCATCAATGATTCGCCCACTGCCCGTAGGACTCAACGGCCCACGACACGCCCCGTAATACAGTGCCGGGGCTTCCTCTTTCAATGAAGCTCCCTTTCTCTGTCTCTCTCTCTCTCTGTGTCTGCCCTAGCTGCCCCCTCTGTGTTGTGCCTGCTATGTTTTTTTCTGCTTTCCATGTGTACCCAGTAGAGCTAAGTTTTGTTGGGTATGAGGTATTTATATGAAGGTCTAAAATATCGGTATCATATAGCTATTAAAGTATTTAATGAAGTCTGTCATTCAATCATAAATCATCTTAGTTTAAAGCAATTAGTGCCTGGGATAAAAGATGTGCTAAATATATATTCAATACTTTTTCATTCTTTCTATGTACATAAAATGTTTCATTTATAAACATCACCTTTATTTATCTGTGAACAAAGCTTAGGTCTCAACCGAATTCGCTCTTTGTCCCATAGAAATTCTAGAGAAAGTCTTACACACTATTACATCTGCTTCCAGGATATCTGCCTCGTCACCCATACAAGGTTATGCCCATGCCCTCCTTTTTTTATGTGCCGCTGGCTGCTTTGCTGGCTTTTTACTTTTGCTGATTTTAATTTTGGTAAAAGTTGTCACATTTGATTTCAAGCAATTGTTTGGTTTTATGCGTTCGCCTTGTTCGCAGTTGTTGTCTTAACGTACTTCGCTTGGCCTTTTATCCCCGAGCTGGAGCTTGTCTTCGTTTTCGTTGTCGCCTTTTATTGTCGCCTCTTTATGTGGTGCCTGGGCCAGAGCCTAATGGCATTCTATATAGACTCTAGACGAGATTGGCTGTAATAGTGGCCTCCTGCCTTGGCTTGGCCTGGCCTGTTGCTTGTGAGTGGGAAATTGCGGTTGACAGTGTGATGTAACCGGAAGAACTTTCAACTCGATTACGAATGTATGTGTGGGAGTGTGTGTGTATGTGTGCGTGAAATTGTGTAAAAAGTGTGAAAATGTAGAAACATTTGTTA